AGGGAGGGAGGGAGACGTTGAAACTGATGCCAGAGAGACACATCAGTTGTTTGCCTCCCACACGACCAGAGCCAGAGATTGAGCCTGCAACTGAGGTACGTGCCCTTGGCTGGAATTGAACCGGGGACCTTTCAGTCTGTGGGCCGATGCTCTAACCACCTAGCCAAGCCGGCCAGGGCTATGCTTTAATTATTGAGGGATCACAGTGTCGACCCGGTGTCTGGGCAGCTACCCTGTGCTTCCCACACCTGGTCACTTCCCTGTCCCCAGCAATGTGTCTTCTGGATTCTCCCTTCCAGTCAAGAACCCTATTGAAGCAAGTGTCCTGATGGCTGAAGCCTCACTAGCACGAAAGCAGCGGAAAACACATACTACCTTTATTCCACTGATGCTGAATGAGATGCCACAGGTTGGGGACCTGGTGGGCCTGGATGCCGAGTTTGTCACCCTTAATGAGGTAACCAAGACCAAAAGTGTGGGGTGTTGAAACAGAACTCTGGGGAATATTAGGAATCAGGCATTTCTCTAATTTCCTTATTAACTCTTCTCACGTAGGAGGAAGCAGAATTGCGCAGTGATGGCACCAAGTCTACCATCAAACCAAGCCAGATGTCAGTAGCTAGGATTACCTGTGTTCGGGGCCAGGGACCCAATGAGGGTATCCCCTTCATTGATGACTACATCTCTACCCAGGAGCAGGTATTAGGATATGGAAGTGCAAGTGAGATAGACCTTGTGCTCTAGAACCCACAAAAGAGTGGTACGGGGATTGTACCTTGCTTCCTGGGAAACTTGTCCTTTTCTCTATCCCTAGGTGGTGGATTATTTGACTCAATACTCAGGGATAAAGCCAGGAGATCTCGATGCCAAGATTTCCTCTAAGCACCTCACAACTCTCAAGTCTACCTACTTAAAACTTCGTTTTCTCATAGACATTGGAGTCAAGTTTGTGGGTCATGGTCTGCAGAAGGACTTCCGGGTCATCAACCTCATGGTTCGGGCAGGGCTCTTTTAAGAGTCTTTGAGTGTGGGCCCCTCAGGGTATACATTGTACTTTTGGGGAATGAAAAATTATGGGATTCCCTACCTTCAGTCTCCCATTCTTTTATCCCTGCCAGGTGCCCAAGGACCAAGTCCTTGACACTGTCTATCTATTTCACATGCCCCGAAAACGAATGATTTCCCTGCGATTCCTTGCTTGGTACTTTCTGGGTGAGTTGCTTTGCCTTGAAGGCCCTTGTGGTGCTCATTAACACCTTGCTGACCAGCTCTTATGAGCCAGAACTCGCCCTTGCGATCGGCTACTTTTCTGCTCTTTTAAAACTCTGCATTGCTTTTAGACCTTAATATTACTTAAATTAATGTAAGTGTAGACACAAGTTAGCAAGTTAGTAGTGACCGGTCAGCAAGATGTTAAGAGCAGGAAGAGATGTTGGAGGGGCTAAGGGGAGTAGGAAGGACCCTGAGTTAGTGGTGAAGTTAATAATGGATTTAATTAGCTTCAATATTCCTTCTGAGCACCAAGGATGATGTTTGGCCCCTTCCTTTAAGGGCAGTCAGGTTTTTGTGGTTGTTTATTGGGAGTTGGGGATGTGAGTAGGGGACATGTTCTTATCTTCCTTTGCTAGGTCTCAAACTATTTCACCTCTACTTCCCCCAGACCTGAAGATTCAAGGAGAGACCCATGATAGTATTGAGGATGCTCGCACAGCTCTTCAGCTCTACCGAAAGTATCTGGAGCTAAGCAAAAATGGTACTGAGCCTGAGTCCTTTCACAAAGTGCTCAAGGGCCTTTACGAGAAGGGCCGAAAGATGGACTGGAAGGTTCCTGAGCCTGAGGGCCAGACAAGTCCCAAGAGTAAGGCCTGGGATGGGACAAGGGAAACTGGACTGGGTGGGTTTTGATTGCACATGTGAAGATTATACCCACCATAATGATGATGATGATGATGTTAACAGCAGTACCACTCCTACTTTATATACTTGGTAAAGCACTTAACAGTTTACAGAGCACTTAATCCTCCCAACAATCAGTGAAATAGATTTTGTTATTGAGACTCTCTACTGGTCCTAACTTCCTCTTGCCCAATTCTAAAATGTTTAGGGCATGTCCAAGCCCTCTTTTCTCTTGCATTTTTCCTTCCTAAGAAGGATCCCAGGTGCTTTTTCTCCACTCACCTTAAGAGTCAATATTCTTGGTTTTGTCTCTGACAGATGCAGCTGTTTTTCCCTCAGTGCTGGCACTCTGACCTCACCCTCTCCCAATGAACTGCCTCTCCCTTCAGTGTTCTGTGGCCTCAGAACTGGGAGATGGCTATACCCTGTCTACTTCCAGAATTGAACCTGCTCAGGGTTTACAGATGGTGCTATTAATAGAACTGGAATGCAGCAGAATTGTTGCAAAGGGTCTAGCAGCCAGATTCCTTTTTCATCCTTTGCAAAACACAGTGGGACAGAAAGATGGAAAGTAATTGGTATTAATAAATATCCTGGGTGATTGATATCCAGGCAAAGAAGAATCTGGAGCCAAAACTTTCAGTTCCTAGTTGGCTAAGGATTGAAGTACTGGACAGTGACTGGATACAACAGTAGTTCAAGACTTAGCTCAAGTCTCTGACTGCTGGAAGCATGCCAGGAAGCCAGCAGAGTCTTGGTGGCCCTAGCAAACCAGTGTTGCCAACACCATCATTGCCAAAAGGGTCTTTGGGTCCAAGACAAAGCTGGGCTTCTGGCTTCATTCCTGCTGACAGCTGAGAATCATCTGTCTTCCATCCACTCCACTCTCCTGTCCCAAGTTTTGTTTTCTTGGTACTTTTTTTAAGTTTTGTTTTAAACTGCATGTTTTATAAAATAAAATAAAAAATATTATTGACTGTCTCCTATCTCGTGTGGGGTTCTCTGACTTTGGTCTTGCTCTGTGTTGGCTTTCTAGTACAAGTGGGAAAACCTAAGGCTTTTAAATTCCCACCTAGAAATGAAGGTAAAGCTCTGGAGGACAAAGGATGTTGGAGGAGTATAATTATGTCTGTTCTGGACAAGGTTAGGTCTTTGCTGTGACTGCCTAGTACTCTCAGGTTGGATTTTTTTAAGATTTATAGTAGGATTTAGCCATTAACTGTAAAAGGTAAGTGAATGAGGAAACTGACAAACTACTGGTCCCAGGATATCTTAAAACCGGTAGCCACTAACGTAAGAGCTGTGCGGTGCTGCAATGCTTCCTGGGAGGGGTAGTTTCCTGGGTACTGAAACTAGGGCTGCTTATTGGCTGTCAGCGCACCTTTGTTTTTGAAGGTCCTAGCCTACGTAGACTGACACACATGCGCCTGACCGTCTCCGTACACCACTCCAGGATCTGTCCTTGCTTCAGGCCACTCCTGTTCTTCCGCTGACCCCTAGTGGTCACGTGGGGCTGCTCGCCACGCAAGTCTGGGTCCTTCTGCTATCCGCTGGGGTCCTCGTAGCTTGGAAGTCATTCCTAAGCTGCCTGTTCGAGCGAGAGTAGATGGGAGGGTTTGCGGTTCGACTCTGGCGTGCGGTTTGCACCGCAGTGAATCGGAGCCCCGCTTAGGCGTCCACTTAGGGTTCGGGGAACTGTTCAGGCGGTCGCCGGGGCACCCCGTGTCTGAAAAGCGCCGGAGCGCTCTGGAGAAGCCGGGACAGCCACGCTCCTCTGCAGCCAGGTGCTAGGGTCGAGATCTAAAGTGAGAGACCGACCGTCTTTCAGCGCCTGGGCCACGGCGGCGGCCCTGGGAGCAGAGGTGGGACGGATGCGAGTGGCGCTGAGGGTCGGGGATGGACTGGAGCGAAGGCAATGGCAGGGTCCTTAGAAAGGGGACTGGTCCCCACAGTAAATAGTTTTTAGGCTGGAGGTGGGGATGTAGGAATCTTCGGTGCTGCGTTCAAATAGGCCCTAGTTATTGAGTGTGCTCCTCCCGGGCCGGCCACCTCGCTGCCTCCTGGCCTGAACGAGCTGCTCTCCTTGCTCTCTCTGCCTGTGTTAATCTTCAACCTCCGTTCGTAGCTGCCACATAGCACGGTGAGCCCTACGCAGAAGACGCTGAAGTACCAACATCTAGGGCCTCCCCTGTCGACATAGTGTCTGGGGCTGAGCCCCAAGTCCTGAGCTCGCGCTCTAACCCTCCGGCCCGGGGAAATCTGGGTCCTCTAGCGCCGAAACAGAGGAAACCCTTTGTATCCGGCCATTTCCTGGAAAGTAGAACCAGAATCACACTGAAGCCTTTGTAGGCCTTGGGATGAGGGGTGGTTGGGGGATAAGGAATGGAGCCGGGCCCTCATACTTATGCTTTATTCTATTCCAAACCCAGGTGGAGCAACCCCATTATGTTAAAGATGAAAGGCTGGGGTTGGCTGGCCCTGCTTCTGGGGGCCCTGCTGGGAACTGCCTGGGCTCGGAGGAGCCAGGATCTACACTGTGGAGGTAAAAACACAAAGAGAAGTGGAAGGAGGGAGGGTGGGGAATGCAGAGCCTTGGGAGGACCAGAGATCCAAAGCCTGGATAAGAATGAATGGAAATCACTAGGTTGATTCCTTTTCCCCCAACCCCCACTTTCTCTCCCCCTGCACCAGCTTGCAGGGCTCTGGTGGATGAACTAGAGTGGGAAATTGCCCAGGTGGATCCCAAGAAGACCATTCAGATGGGCTCTTTCCGAATCAATCCAGATGGCAGCCAGTCAGTGGTGGAGGTAACTGTTACTGTTTCCCCAAATAAAGTTGCTCACTCTGACTTTGAATGAGGACTCAACTAATTAAGAAGGAGCTTGGTTTAATAGAAATGAAGAAAACATTGACCCAGAGAGGTATCTAAAAGATAGGGCTGTAGCATTTCGAAGAGGCTGGAGACTTAGACCCTATGCACTTGCTTCTTGGCTCCACACCTTGATACTTTGTCTGATCAGCCCCTTCTCCACATCCTTAATCCACATGACTCATGTTTTCACTATGGCCATGTGATATTCACACAAACATTCATTCAAAAAAGAAATAGAAGTTCTCATCCTTATATTTAGGAAATTTATTTTAGTTGAAAACATAACACATATAACAAAGCTGTACCTAGTGGATAATAAATAAATGTAAATGTTGTAATGCTTGTGAAATGATTTAATAGTTGTTATCTTCAAAGCCTACACTACCTTTCTGATGCTCTCCTACTGAGGGCAGGTTTTAGTCTCATTTTAATACACACACATAAAAATCACTATCTTACATCCATAAAAATTACTGCAATTCAAAGGGAAAGAACACAGTTGGCTAGGGTTAATCAGAGAGTTCTCTGTTTATAATTTGGACCTAATGACTCCTGTTTTATTTCTTGGGATTATATAATGAGGTAAAATAAGGCCATATACAGTATTTGAAAGCACTTTGGAATTACAGAAATAAACCTATACTGTTTTTAAATAGGCTGGTTGAGCTAGATTTGGAAGAAAAAGGATGTAAATTACTAATGTACAGAGGTAAAAGTGTGACCCAAGGCTGAGGACATTTCTAGGTGCCTTATGCTCGCTCAGAGGCCCACCTCACAGAGCTGCTAGAGGAGGTTTGTGACCGGATGAAGGAATACGGGGAACAAATTGACCCTTCTACCCACCGCAAGAATTACATACGTGTAGTGAGCCGGAATGGAGAATCCAATGAACTGGACCTACAGGGCATCCGAATTGATTCAGACATCAGTGGCACCCTCAAGTTTGTGGTGAGCTATGAGAGTGGGTAGCTGGTTCTTAGAAATTAGGGGAGTTATGGAGAGCCCAAGGGGAAAATGGGGTTAATATCCTTGTTCTCCGCTCAAGTCAGAAGCAAGAGGCCTCTTCATGCTGCCTTCTCTAACTCGTTTCTCCCTTGGGTTGGCAGTGTGAGAGCATTGTGGAGGAATATGAGGATGAACTCATTGAATTCTTCTCTCGAGAGGCTGACAATGTTAAAGACAAACTTTGTAGTAAGCGAACAGGTAAGCTGCTCCCACTTGACCTTCTGTCTTCACAGCTTTACCTTCTGGCACATTCCCTAGCAAGTCACCTCCACCTCCAATCCTGATACTAGCTCAAGAGTTGGCTTCCATTTACCCATGGCTTAGGGACTTGGGTTGTTCCTATGTATTCTCTTCCTGTCAGCTTTCAGAATTGTGACTCCTTCATCTAAGGTACAGGTGAGAGGATAAATGGGAATGTTTGTCATTTAAAAGGACATGCTCTGTCCCCCCAGAGTGGCTCAGTTGGTTGAGCATACAACATTGCTGGTTTGATTCCAGGTCAGGGCATGTACAGAAGGCATCCAATCCATGTTTCTCTCCCTCCCTCTTCCCTCTCCCCTCTCCCCTCTGAAAAATGATAGTTGGTATATGTATCAATTTGATTTTGGGGTATTTTCTTGATAGTGGCATATATCAATATGAGTGACATTTTCTTTCAAACTGTTATGTGCTGTTTCCAGATCTATGTGACCATGCCCTGCACATATCGCATGATGAGCTATGAACCACTGGAGCCGCCCGGACTGACAAGCTTGGTGGATCACCCCCAGGAGGGGAAAAGGTGGCAATGCCTTTTATATTATGTTTTTACTGAAATGAACTGAAAAAAATATGAAACCAAAAGGATGAACTGTGTTGTCTTTTTATGCCCATAATTGGCCCTTAGATTGGGTTTGAAGATAGGGGATTCCAGACAGGAAAGAAAAGGGAAGGGAAGGAAGAGCTTTGGGAATGGCATAGCATGAAGGTAGGAGGAGCCTGAAGCTTTCATTCTTTTGCCATCTGAGATTCCTGCTGCACTCACAAACTAGATAAACATTTATTCAGTGCCTACTTAATACAATGGGTTTAAAGTTTAATTGTGGAGAAAAGACCCTCTGTGAATAAGGAAGAGAACATAAGTAAGAGTATGACAGCATAGGATTCTAGAAATTACATGTATTCATACTGCTGAAACATAAAGTAAGACAGAGCTTGGTCTCAAAGGAAATAATGGACATGCATTATTCTTCCCTCCCTGCCCTTCCAGATGGAGGGATCAACAAGAGCATGCAGGAGGGGGAAAATGGATGTGATCAACTCAGCTGAAAAGTAAGGGCTTTATCAGATAGGGAGAAATTAGGTAAGGAATGTTATTTAATGGCCTACAGTTTTAGATTTGATACCAACAGCAACACTAAAGTATACCTTTTTCATCTCCATCACTAGCTATTGTCAATCTCGGTTATAAGTCTGTCCTCACTTTCTGTATGTAGAGATTCTGTACTGGGGCATTGGGATGAAAACAAAGGATACCTTCTTTGAGGAGCTTTTTAAATACCCTAATTCTGAGGTGTGGCTGTCTTACATTTTGAAATGGAACATTTCAGTCTCAGGAATGCCTCAGAGAGAGAACACCTGAATAAACATTTCAAAGACTTTTTAAATTAAGCATTTGAAAATCTAAAGGGTCCTTGGGGGTCATCTAGTTCACCTCTGCCCATTTTACATATGAAGAAACTAAAGCCTAGAGAAACCACAGGTCCTGAAGTTATTATACATTTTGTGACCAACTGGATCTAGTATAAGCTCATGTTTCCAAGAGTTAATCTGATCTGATATAGCTGTGAGCTAGCTTCTATTTTAAGTCTTTTTTCCTCTTATTACCTTACACAGAATAAATGTTCAACAAAGCTTTCTCATACCACGATCCCTGTGAAATCTAACACATGATGCAGCTCAGAGCAAGTACCCTGAAATTAGTTGACAACTAAACTCAAGGTCTAGTATTAAGTTCTCTCATCATTCATAAAAAATCTATATTCTTTCAAATCAATTTTCCAGAGCAGCTGTTACTAACCTTTTTGTCTTCTGTGATGCACATGAGTAATGTTCACCTGCTTCATACCCCTGCGCATATACCCAGAATTCTGTCCATTGCCTGCTTGGTGTCTAAACACTTCTTATTCTTCTATCAGAAAGCTTCTCAGAAAGATAAGTGAGAGTACTCATATGGGGAACTTGAAACTTTTAATTTACAAAAAAGAAAATTATTCACAAATTTTAATAAAATAAATTTAATGTTAATCGGTAATAAATTACTTGAGATGTACCTCACTAGTGTGTCAAGTTACAGCTATTAAGAACTCTCCAGCGCAAGTCTTTGCCATTGGTACACTGGGATGTGTCCTACATAGGGAAGGGCAGATGTTATTGTCTTTGACTTGATCCTCAGAGGTTAGGAGGATATATTTGTATATCTCTTAATTCATATCACAGGTTACCACTAGGAATCCATGAATTTATCTAAACCCTTCTGGAGGCTCACCATAACAAATTATTCTAGCCCAGTATTTGATAGAGCATATACTCAACCTTTCATATCTGTTTACACTTTAAGCTTTAGATGCCTTCTAAATGAATTTATCAGTAAAATGATAGAATGTAAACATTCCTAAAGCCAGTGTTAAATGAGATCTGGGTGTGACTAGGAAAATTTATTATGTGGAAATCTAGTCCTTTAAAAATAATTTTCAAAGGAATGCTGTTAAAAAGCTTTCAGAGCAGGGACAAGCCCACGCCTGTGTAGCTTGGTTGGAGTGTCATCCCCTGCACCGAAAGGCTTCTGGTTTGATTCCCAGTCAGGGCACACGCCTAGGATGCAGGTTCGATCCCTGGCTGGGCAAGTACAGGAGGCAACCCATCGATGTTTGTCTCTCATATCTATGTTTCTCTCTCTCTTACTTTCTCTCTAAAAATCAATTAAATTTTTTTTTAAATTCATCCCGCAGAACTGGGATGAGTAGCAAGGAAAAGGGAACTAGTACAGTTGACCCTTGAACAGTGTGGGGGTAAGGAGCACCAATTTCTGCACAGTTCAAAATCTCTGAAATTTAGCCCGGCCAGCTGTGGCTCAGAAGTTGAGCATTGACCTGGGATCCAGGCAATCAGGGTTCAATTCCCAGTCAGGGCACATGCCCTAGTTGTGGGCTCGATCCCCAGTCGGGAACATGCAGGAGGCAGCCGATCAATGACTCTCTCATCATTGATGTTTCTATCTCTCTCTCTCCCTCTCCTTTCCTTTCTCTGAAATCAATAAAGATATATTTTTTAAAAAGAACAACTCTGAAATTTTAACTACAGTTGTCCCTTGGTGAACATGGGGGACTGGTTCCAGGACCCCCATGGACACCAAAATATGCAGATGCTCAAGTCCCTTATGTGAAATGGCATAGAACAATATGTACACTTGGGCCTCTGCATCCACAATTCCCAACTGCAGATCAGAAATACTGTTTTCAATCTGTGGCTGGTTGAATCTGTGGATGTGAAACCTGGGGATACAAAGGGCCGACTGTATATTTAACTAAAAAAAATCCATGTATAAGTGAACCCACTGCATATGTTGAATACTCACATAAGAGGCACATACACATTCTGATTTAACTTTACAACTCTTAAGAAATAGATATTACTCCCATTTTACAGATGAAGAAGCTAAGCTCAAAGGGATTGTGCTTGCTTATCAGCAGGGAGCCAGGACTTCAACCCTAGTGATCATCTTATCCCTAGGCCAGTGGTCTTTCTGTTAAACCTCATTCCTTGTAGTGGAGTCTCCACATAGTCCTCAATGGCTGTGAAAAGTAGTACTTCTTTCATTTAAAAACTACCTCCCAAGTTTGAGTGCATTCCTTCTGATTTAATAATCTATAGTGAAAAAACACTACGTCCTCTATCTTTAAGTATTCTGGGAGGATCACCATTTATCATGTATTCCAGGTATGGGTATACAAAGGTTTTTACAGATAAGTAAGATTATATAGTTCCTTATCTTTTTTAAAGATTTTATTTTTATTATATTTAATGTGTTTTTATTGATTTGAGAGAGAGAAACATCAATCAGCCGCTTCCCACACGCCTCCCACCAGGGATCAAGCCCGCAACCCAGGCATGTGCCCCAACCAGAAATCGAGCAGGTGACCTCTTGGTGCATGGATGACGCTCAGCCAACTGAGCCACACCGGCCAGGGTGATAGTTCCTTATCTTTTAAAATATTTTTAAATATAGAAAACATTGGCCCGGCCAGGCGTGCTCAGTGGTTGAGCGTCGACCTAGGATCCAGGCGATCAGGATTCGATTCCCTGTCAGGGCACATGCCCAGGTTGTGGGCTCAATCAATGACTCTCTCATCATTGATGTTTCTGTCTTTCTCTCTCCCTCTCCTTTCCTCTCCCTGAAATCAATAAAGATATATTTAAAAAAAAACAAACAAAAAAAAAACACATTGTACTGATATGTATAGTTAACAATGACTCAAAAGTCCCCTTCCTAAGCTGCAGTTGATAATTCACAGTCATCACCATATAAACAATATGGCTTAATAGTTAAGATACAGCTTCTGGAGTGAGACCAACCTAAGTCTGAATTCTGGCAGTGCCAATTGCAAGCTATGACCCTAAGCAGGATACTTTATCTAAATTTTGGTTTCCTCCTCTGTAGAAATATTAATATTACTTACATCCCTTAGACTTGTGAGGGTTAATTAAAATAATGCCAGTACCACATTTAGATAGTATTTGTAAATAGTAAGTATTCAATAAATTTTAACTATTATCCCTTAAACACAGGAATTTGGTTTACTGATGTAGTTTAAGTTTAGGCTGCATTCTCACTTATCCTTGGCCACCAGAGGGCACCATTGCCTTTGTCTATTTTAAAGAGGTCCTCTCAAGGTCAAAATGACCTCAGTGCTCAGCCTTCTCTCCCTTGGCCTCTTCAGTTCTCATGCACTTTGTTGTACTGGGCCCTAGAACTCACTTGGCTGTTTTATCCATGCCAGTCCTTTTCCCATAACTTTCTTTTTAAATTTTTATTTTTTGATTGATTTTTTTTTTTTTAGAAAGATTTGTTGTTCCAATTATTTAGCATTCATTGGTTGCTTCTTGTATATGCCCTGACCTGGAATCAAACACACAACCTTGGTGTATTGGGACGATGCTCTAACATATTGAGCTACCAGGCCAGGACTCCATTAACTTTCTTCCCACTTCCTCAAATCCTGTCCACTTTCAGAAAAAGACTGTAAGCCAGCTCCTGAGACATACTATTTAGTCCACTTGCTTGCTGGGCTTTCCCATTGGCCTTATAGCAGTAAATGTCAGGACAACTTCAAAACAAGTCCCCATAGTCCTCATGACAATAGACTCAGGACACTGTGTCAAAGGGCTTAAGAGCACTACTGTTCCCTATCCTCCCTCCACTCACTAGAGAGCCAAAATAGGTTACCCTTACGGCTGCTCAATAATTACCCCTTTGGTAGTCTCACACTGAAAATGCCTCCTGTCTCTTGGGGCACTGGAGTTCAGTATTCTGGTCTGTTGGCTAGTCTCTGTGGATAATTAACCAGAGAGAAGAAACAAGGTCAGACTATTCTAGGGTTAAGAGGAAATCCTCTGTGAGATGCTAAATTGGGATCAAATATTGACCACTGGAGCTTTGAAGTCACCGACAAGGTAGCAGAGGTCACTGCTCCTCTGGGGCACTGCTTGGCTTCTCTTTATGAAGTTCTTTAGTAAGACCTACCTGTATGATCCCCAGCCCAGAGGAGCATTGGTTGGTAGGTGTGAAGCTGGGTATGAGGAAACTG